TTTATGTTATTCTTTGTTTTCAGGAATTTTTAGGATGATACGCATGATCTATAAAAAGTTAGGGGCGTTCGGATACTTATGACCGCTACTGTAATATTAATACGTTACTATTTTTTTGCTGGTGCAAAACAGGTTTCGATTTTAGTATACCATATGTAATCAAGGAGAATGAAGAGACATCGATTGACTTGCAAGAAAAACTACAGATTCAAGTTGAAACACTTCCAACAAAGTAGGACAATGTCAAAAAAAAAAGAAATGATAACTACTTTATCGTTATCGTTATTATTATTGCCTATTTGAACTCTTGATTGTTCGTCATACGGGCTAAAAATTAAATGCATGTCAATTACATGTAGTTATGTTAATATTTGTTTTTGCGGAACTCTTAAATACGACACCTACAACATGTTCGAGATTTAATGTATTAAAATAAGAGAGCCATTTATTATTTACACACACAAATCGAGGTCATAATGATAACGATAAAAGGTGACCTGTCTCACTTTTCATGCATAGAAATCGATTTTACTCTTCTTTAACACATACAAATGGAAGTCAAAATAATAATGATAAATGTCTCTTCTTTTCTATGAAAATGTGCTAATCATACATATGATTTATTGGAAACTTCATAAAGGACAGGATTAAAATTACAAATTAATGAGGCTGCGTTATCGGTCATTCTATATGTGTGCACTTATTAATGATACTCCTGTCTAAGTTACCATTTATCAAGCTTGACAGAACGCATGAGATACATGCTTAGCAGATTCTTTGTTTTCCATTCTTTGAAAATATCTCATGTCATTTTAATCATTGGTTATTCTCAATTGTTTTGAAATAAATTTTATTTGTACCATGACGCCTAAAAAATTACTCAGTTATTGAAATTACACTTTGTAACTAGCAAAAGAACAATATCGATATCGATATAGTTTCACAATTAGATTACGTATTTGTATCGTTATAGCGACCGCCACTTATAATCTGTGCTTGGTTCCTGATCATATGCACATGACAAACCAATAAGGATGCGCAAATTTTTGATCAGCCCGGCAAAACAAATCCTACACAAAAAATGTGAAAATGTGAAAAATACTGATACAGGAAACAGATGTCCAAATATAACTTTTAGCGCAAATAAAAAATGTCGGGAGGCAATTTTACATATAATCTTGTCCTTCCCTAACCCTAACCCAAACGATAAAATCAACCTTTAATAGTTGCCGGCACACATATAATTTGCGCATTCTTATTGGTTTGTTATCATGTGATCGCGAACCGAGCACAGATTATAATTACGCACGTACCGGTACTATCTGTATGTTTTGGTTACAAATATCGATATTCTCAAAAAAATATGACTTCATCAAATACAATAAAAAAAGAACTAATAAATAATAATCCAGAACTAGAATCACACATTGCCAACATCTACAAAATCCTCAACGACGAAAATACACGATACAAAGATGCAAAAGAAATCGCAAAAGAAATAAATAAATTCATAAAAGACAATAATCACGATCCGGACAAGATTTTCAACTGGTTTTTTTCTGATGATGAACAACAGCACCAAAATATTAATCCCGAATATTATTTCTTGATTGGGTTTTTGTGTGAATGGGGAATTGGGACTGCGTCGTCGATGAAAGATTCTTTTTATTGGTATCATTTGGCGGCGGAATGTATTAAAGATGATCCGGTTGTGTATAATCAGGTTGGTTATTGCTATAGTAAAGGATTTGGCGTGCGACAAAACCATGAATTGGCATTTCTGTATTTTCAAAAGTCAGCTGAGTTAAGATATGCGCCAGGACAAAAAAATCTTGCAAATTGTTATGCTAATGGACTAGGTACCAAAACAGATCTTCAAAAATCACTTCAACTTTACCAAGAATCCGCACAAGCGGCATACTATCAAAGTGCATTGACTCTCGCTCGATATCTCAGTGCTGACACCGAATCACAAGAAAACCAGGAAAAGTCATTCGATTGGATACGAATCGCCGCTTATGATTCCTACCCGCCTGCACAAACAGAACTAGGTTTATATTATCTTAAAAGTTCGAATAAGGTTAAAGAAGCGGCAACCTGGTTCAAACTAGCCGCCGAAAATGGAGAGCCATGTGGACAAGTGCTATACGCACGATTCACACGGGACTCAACGGAAAAATTCACTTATTTTAAGAAGGCAGCTGGAACGGGAAATATGGAAGGACTCGTCAAGTTAGGTGACTGTTATCGTATGGGCATCGGAACACGAATAAATTTGTTTAAAGCAATGCGGTGTTTTCTTAAAGTCGCTGAGAAAAATGGAAATGATTTCGATACGTATGTTACGTTGGCATATCATTTTTCTCTTGGTATGGGGTGTCCAAAAGATTTGCATAAGACTATTCGATATTACCATAAGAATCCAGTGAATATAATGAATCACCTTGAAAGATTGTTTTAGGTGATCGTATCGAAATTATGATTGCATCTGAGGTTTTTTGTTTGATTAAATTTAAATTTTTTCGATTGACATAATTAGCTTTATGATTTTATTAGAAACAAAGGAAGAAGACGATTTTGGGTACTCTACGTTATATTTCTTTTTCTCATTTTTGTTAAACCGTAAATTTTATTTAAAGTCTTCTTGATTTTGTCCTTTCCAATATTTATATTCTCTGATCTTATCAGATATTAATCTTTGAAGGAAATACATTTGAATGTTAATAGTTCTTTTTCTTGTGGATTATTTTTATTTCTATGGTCATATAAAGCCAATGAAATTACTATATGATGTTTGCAAACCAACTCAAGATTTTCTTAACGTTAAGGTAAAATACAGTAATAATTTTATCGCATTAAAAAAGAATTATGTGTTGAGAAAACCAAATTCTGAAATGCTAAAGATAAAATAACTTTGTTTTATGAAAAAATATAATACATGATATGTACGTACGCGGTTTCAACGTAACACTGTTACAGTAGTAATAATTTCATAAATTCGAGAAAAACCATAACTTTCAAAAATAACAGAAAATCTCTAAAAATATTAAAAATATGAAAGATAGTAAAAATAGCTTTTTACTTTTTATTTTACTTTACATTATTATTTTACCTATTATTTTACCTTTCATTTTACCTTTTTATTATTTTACCTTTTTATTATTTTACCTATTATTTTACCTTTCATTTTACCTTTTTATTATTTTACCTTTTATTTTACCTTTTTATTATTTTACCTATTATTTTACCTTTTATTTTACCTTTTATTTTACCTTTTTATTATTTTACTATTATTTATCTATTATTTTATCTTTTATTTTATCTTTTATTATTATGTAATTTACTCATCATTTTATTTTTTATTTGATTTTTATTATTATTTTACCTTTTATTTTATTTTTTATTATTACAGTCAATACAAAAAGTAATAGCAGACATGTTTTTCGCCTATAACTTAATAAGAAATTGCTAAAAATTTATGAAAATTTGGCATTATATTCTTTAAGATGACAGAAACAAAATTTTCTAAGGTCACAAAGCATATTAACATAGTGATATTTTGTGGAATCACATGCTAAAAATGATGAGCTGGGGAATTACCCTGGTTAAAGTACTATAAAAAATTATTTTTTATAAGCAAGTATAAAAATAATTTTATAGAAATATATTTGAATATATAGAAAATATATTTGTAATTTAAAAAAATTTTTAGTTAATATTTATTGAGTTAAAAAAGGCTTAATTTTGATAAATTTTACTATATTTTACTATATTTTATTATAAAATTTATCAAAATTAAATTTTTTTTGACTGATATTTATTTAATAAATATCAACTAAATTTTTTGTTAAAGTACAAATATATTTTCTATATCTTAAATATATTTTTATAAAATTATTTTCATATTTACTTGTAAAAAATATTGTTAAATAATTTTTTATAGCTTTTTAACTAAAGTAGTTTCCAGATTTATCAACTTTGATATAATACATAATTTTGAAAAATATTACTATATTAACATGCTTTGTGATCTTAGAAAATTTTATTTCTGTCATCTTAAAGAATATAATACCCAATATTTATAATATTTGAATAATTTCTTGTTAAGATATTAATAAATTTTGACAAAAAATATGATTGCTATTACTTTTTATGTTGATTATATTTTATTTACATTAGCAAATTTCTGATACGGTTAGAAATCGATTGCTAACCATATTTATTGGCAATCGATTACCAACACCCCCACTGATTATTATCGATTGTTGATCAATCAATAATAATCAGTTTTTTTATTATCATTTACAAATGATAGCAATCATTTGTAAATGATAGAAAATGATAGGAAACGATTCCTATCGTTTGTAAATGATAATAAAAAAACTGATTATTATCGATTGATCAACAATCGATAATAATCGGTGAGGGTGTTGATAATTGATTGCCAATGAATATGGTTGGCAATCGATTTCTAACTGTATCAGAAATATATATATATATGTATATACTTGATATTAAGCGTTAGTTTTTGATTTAATATATTTAATATA